CTGCTCTGACGACAGTCCCTGAGACTTCACCCGTGGGAACAGCACGGACTTGCCTCTGGCTACCTCTTGGCAGCAAGTGAGCCCGCGCAGCTCCAGCAAGAGCGCTTCTCTTTCTCGAGCGTGTGGTTTATCCATCACCCCTCATTCACGCTCCTCAGAGGCCAACCAAGAATCCTTTCCCATGTGTGTTTGAGAGGTAAAACAAGGCACAGAGGCACAATGCGTTTCTTCCACAGCAGAAGAGTTGGGGCTGAACCTGGTGGCCCGTTTCGCAGAACTTGGATCAGACTTCCAGCTCCATGCCCTTCGCGTGCCCAGGCTGCCTTCCCATGAACCTGGAGGAGAGTGTGGGCCAGTCCTGCTTGCTCCGAACGATGAAGGAGTGATGACTTCTGTCCCGGGCACGTTGCTGGCCTTCAGCGTTGTTGTGACTTGTTGAGCTGCTTGCTCCATTCCTCCCTCCCTTCTGGACACTTTTCTTTGGGAGTTCCACTGTTGAGCACCTGGGATTTTATCAAATACTGATTTGATAACATGCTCCGGTATTGGAGCAAACAGGAGTTAATTTGCTTGCCTGGATGACACCTGTAATCTTTCTGCACGTGTTGCAGCTCGCTCATGGATAGGGGCTGGGCGGTTTCTGACTTCTGTGTGATTTCTGTCTCTTCCCTCTCCTGCTCTTGGGTCTGCTCTGCTGCAGGACAGGCTGCCTCTCCTGATTCTTCCTGCTCCTGATTCTTCACCTGCTCCTTCATAGAGAGATTTCTTTCTCCCTTAATTTATCAAACGTACCAAATCTTGTTGCAAATGGTAGTGCAGTTAGTCTCACAACCCAGAACTGCAGCATCGTTAAAACTATATTAATGTGTATATTAATATGTAAGGATTACACAGTGATTTTTCATCTGCTTTCAGAGAGGCAGCAGACTAATATGATGATTTTAAACCTTCTATCTAGGATCTCTTAGGAGGCACAAAGTTTACAGAGGAGCTCTTCTGGTCAGAGCTGTTTGCAAAGTGTCTTCTCCCTAAAGGAACCGATGCAAATCTGCCTCATGCTGACTGTACCTGCCTTTTGCTGAAGCAGCCCACGGAGGGACTGGAGCTCTAATGGTCAGAGGATCTGAGTCTGGAGCCTGGGAATTCTGAGTGTGCTTCTGGCTGTGGAGGGCTGCAATGGTATTGTGTAACTTCTGGTTGGATCAGTGCAGTGCTGATTTCAAACTATTTACGCCTTGTGCAGGGAGAGTTAATGGTACCTTGTAGTTGTTTTGGACCTTTGCATAAGAATCCCTAGGTGTGGGGCAGGGGGGAAAAATTGTCCAACTTCTTCTGCACCGCACAGAAGACAATCTATTTCAAGTTAGAAAACCACTTCCTTCCCAGCACGTGCTAACCCATTGCTAGACCTGCAGGCACAGCCATGGCACCGGCAGCAGCGTGCCCTGCGTGGAGGCAGAGAGGGGTGTTTGTGTGACACTGGTAGGAGCTTGGCTTCTGTCAGACTTCTGTGAAACAGAGCTCAAGATTCACTTCAGCTGTGTCTGTCCTGCCCATGAAGTGTGTGCTGACCTCCAAAGCAACATTTTGAGGGCGTTTTTTGAAAGGAAGGATATTTTTGCTTAAGTGGTGTTTTTTTTGTTGTTGGTTGATTTCTTTTTTGTGAGTGGGGTGGTTGTTTGCAAAGCTTTCTGTTTTTGTGTCCTGGGCTAAATGAACACTGGTTTACTCTGGAAAGGCTGTGTTTACTTCTAGGCTTGCTGCTAGATGGAGCAGGAGAAAAGGAGATCTTTCTTCCGCCTTTTCCCCCCATGTTTCAAAGACCTTAAAAGAGGCTGGCTGAGCACAGAATAGGGCATGATTCTCTCCTACCCCAGCAGGGTTGTTCCTGCTTTCATCAGAGGACAGTTGTCCCCTTCACTGCTGCTCAGCTCCCTCCCTGCAGGACAGGGTACGATGCTCTCAGACCTGACTTCCTTCTCTGTGTTGGCCTCTGTCCCATTGGGTGGCATTGACCTGTCACTTGCTGTGCTCTGAGTTCCTGGCAAGGAGAGAGGTCGGTGCCGGGCAAACACGCAGATGTCCTTGCTGTGAGAACTGCTGCACATATATCTGGTGTATCTCTCAACTCAAGGTTTGCTGGAGAGATAAGATGCTTTGTGGTTGGTTTGGCTGTGCTGTGGTCCCTCTCCTGTGTCTCTCATGGCAAGTCGTGCTTTCCTTCCGTGGAAACGGCCGAGACAGGTCTGGGCTGCCTGCTGCATCTCTGCGGTGCCTGGAAAGCGAAGGTAGTGCGGCACAATCTCTCATCTGCAGAGGCTGCACAGAGCGACTTTAAATTCGGGGGTGAGCTGCAGCCCAAGAATTTGTTTGAAGGCTGAAGTGTTCAGAGCAGCTTGCAGGAGAGAGCAAACCATCCGGCAAAGCTGAGCTGAGAGCGAGGGCCGCAGAGCAGGCACGCTGGCAAGGGCTGCCTTCAGCTGAAACAGACCACTCGCTTCTGCCAGCGCTGCTCCAATACAGGCAGGGTGGGGAGGGAAGCCTTCAAAGGGTATTCTACAAATGGTTCGAAATGAGGAATTTTTACGTTAACTGGGGTCAAGAGGTGGAATTACAGAGAAGTTCCAGTGATCCTGGGCATGGCTGGGCAGTCTGATGTGCTCCCATGCCTGCCAGGTGGAATCCGTGCTGCGGCATTGTGCCCCTGCCCTGTTCCCAGGGATGTGCCATGGATCCCTCTCGGCAGATGGCAGCTCTCTCGCTGACTCTGGACTTGAGGGTAGCACTCACCCTGGATTAAAATCCTGGTGATGCTCAGTGATTCCTCCCACCCTCTCTGCGATCACAGAGCTGTTGGCCTGAACCAAACCAGAGGTGCAAATCCTGCAGCAGAAACAAATGTATTTGTGGGACAAGCAGAGCCTGTCTGAGGGTGCTGCAAGGCTGCGGCTGCTGGTTGCCGAACCCACCGCATGTTGAGCTGGGAAGTGTCACCCGTGCTCAGCTAAAGGAGTGAGGAGACTGTTCAGTGATGCCCTGGCAGATACTGCTCCCGGCTGTCTCAGTCACGTCCCTCCGTAACAGAGCACCACGTGCTCCTCTTGCAACTGTCTTGTCGTAGCAGGGGTAGTGCCCAACCTGTGCTCGGCAGCAGGAGTGAGGCGGAAAGAAACATTCCTCTGTGCTGCTCTACCAGGTGCAAAGTGAACAGAGGGAAGTAGATCGGTGACTTTTAGAAACTGGATTTTTCTCCTAAGAAAAAAAAGAGTTTTTTTCTTTTTTAATCCTTCATGCATTGCCCCTGAGTTTCTCTCCACTGAAGAGAGTGGAAGAAGAAATTACTCCCTGATTACGGCCTATAAATACTTGAGAAAAGATGGTGGGGAGGTGGGGGAAGGGCTCTTTACATTAGTGATGGGTGATAGAACAAGAGGAAATGGGCATAAGCTTAGTCAGGGGAGATTCAGGTTGGATGTTAGGAAGTATTTCTTCTCTGAAAGGGTTGTCAGCCACTGGAATAGGCTGCCCAGGGAGGTGGTTGAGTCCCCATCCCTGGATGTGTTTAAGAATAGGGTGGATGAGCTACTTGAGAATATGGTTTAATGGGGATTAGGGATGGTTGGACTCGATGATCTCTAAGGTCTTTTCCAACCTAGAAATCTATGAATCTGTGAAGCCATCTCAGTGGTGTGTTTGAGTGCTTGGACACTTGCCTTTAAAACTTTATTGGACTGAAGAATAGGATTCCTCTCCCTCCTCATGGAAAATACTTGCACTCCTTAATGTCTTCGATGCTTTTCGCAGAAAGCTTAAGCATCCCCTTCCAACCTGAAAGCTTTGGGTGGAAAATTTTTGTTTTGGGGTGAAAAGCCAAAGCTTTCTAGTTATCTTCGAAACTATGAATCCACTGTGCATGTGTGTTGAGGGGAGCATTTTCCAGCCAGTTCTTATTCTTATGCTGTAGTTTCTCTCCCCTGTACAGATTGATTGGAGAGTCCAGTTTCAAAGGGTTTTGCTTATACTGGCTACTAACATGTTACTGCATTAAAAAGCTTGATTAAAGCGAGTAACACACCAAATGGTGGACTGTTAATTTGGTATTAGGGACAATTCAGGCCCCTGAGATGAGAGATATTCTCAAACTCCACAAAAAGCAGGAAATGAAGCTGTCTCTACTGTTGCATTTTGGTCCTCAGAGTCAAATTGAATTACCCTGGAGAGGAGGGTAGACTAAGGTGGTGACAGCGTTTCTGGGAATAAATTAGAGTTTTCTTCTGCAGAAGTCTTGCTAGTGCGGAGCATCAGTTAACACAAAATGAGTGATACTTATCTGTGTTTTTATGGCCCTTTTCAGCAGACAATTTTGCAAATGAGCAAAGCGTGGCTGCTTCTTACCACCATCCTGTGGAGTAAGTGGATATCCATGTTTTAGAGCTGGGAGGCTGCGTTACTGGGGAAGGCACTGACATGGCTGGATGCCATCTGCGTCAAGAGCAGAGTCCATGAGTCTCACTCTCAGCCCACTGCTGTAGGAACGGCCGTGCCCCTCCGTCCCCGTGGTAGCAGTCACCAGTGCCCCTGCCAGTCTGCTCTTCCAGCCCTCAGCTTGCAGCCCCTGCAGGATTAAACATTGCAATGAGTGTTGCTCCTGAAACTGGGTTTAAGTCTGGTTCCTGAAAGGGAAGTCTGTAAGGCAAAGCAAGGTGAGCGCTGCTTGGGGACTGGTATGTGGAGTTGATGCTCATGTTGCCAGTTCCCATGCCCTGATAGGCTGGACTGCACCAAGATCCAAGCACAGTCCCTCTGTCCATCCTTCCCTCCTTCTTCCCCTCCCTCCTCCATCCCTCCGCCCTCAGGGAGGCTGTCCGAGTTTTTTCTTCTTTTTTTTTTTTTTTTTTTTTTCTTTCTTTCCCCCCATCTGAGCTGTACTTATAACTCTCGATCTCACTGGCCTGGCAGCAAGCAGCAGCGCAGAAGACACGGGGCAGGACCTGGGGAGCATGACGGCTCGGGGCATCTCGGGGCTCGTGGGACCCTTGCTGAGCGTGAGCAAAACTCGCTTTGTCTGCCTCCGCAGGGTGACTGAGCACCATCGCACGCCAGCAGAGCGGGGCTCAGGGAGAGGCTTCAGCTCCACGCGCAGGCTCTGGGATGCCCCTGGGGAGTCGAGGTGAGCAAAGCGCTGAACCCTGCCGGGCTGTGCTAGGAAGGGCCTTCTCGGGAGGGACGCGCTCCTCTGCCTCCCTCCGCAGAAGGTGGTGGACGAGGAGGTGTTGGCTGAGCAGGTGCCGGCAGGAGGGAGTGGGTGCCAGGAGCTGCTCTGCTCCTGCTCCCAGAGCTGTGCAGGCCACGGTTGGTGGCGGGGATCCGGACCACGGAGATGACGACACGGCACAAGAGTTCACTGGCCATGGAGTCCGGCTGCCGGGGGGATGGGGGCGGCGGGCTGCTGGCCCACTGCACTCCTGCTATGGGAAGCTGGGATGACTGCTGGGTTGCTCTGGGAATTGCAAGTTCTCTTGGCTTTCTTGTTGCTGCTGCTTGGTTTTTTTGTTGCTTCTGCTGTAAAGGCAAAGCAGGGGGCTGCCACCTGCAGCTCCAGGGAGCAAAATGCCCTTTAGGTTATGGAAAGCCAGGCTGAAAGCTCTCGTGCTGTGCTGGCGCGCTCATCTGGACAGGGGGATGGAGGAGCTGGCTCCGTGCGCGGCCGCCCAGGAGGCGGCTATGGGTGCGAGGGGCCGTGCGGGCCCACGGTGCCATGGTCCTGCCGGGCTCCTGCCACCGGTGCCTTGTGCTGGGCTTTGCTGAGGCTGCATGCTCAGGACAGGGTGCGTGGTTTGTCACGATGGACGAGTTTGTGAGTCGAACTCTGCAGTGGAAATCAGGCAGAAGCTGTGTTTGGAAGTGCCTCTAAGTGCATCTGGTCCCTGCCAGGGCGGAGGATGCCCGGCTGGTCACCGAAAGGGCAGATGCTGCCTGTCCATGGGCCCGGCTGACGGAGTCCTGCGGGAGGCAGTCCTGAAGGGCGAAGGCGTCCAGGAAGGCTGGACGTTCTTTGGGAGGGAAATGGCAAAGGTGCAGGAGCAGCCCCTGCCCGTGTGCCGACAAGGCTGCCAGGCACGGCGTGCTCGTCTGTGTCTCTACAGCAGAACTGCTGCAGACTCCTGCCAATGTCTGCTCTGTCTGTTCCTTAGGCTGAATTCAGAAGGAGATTGCGTTCTTGTGAGCAAAATAAAGGGAATCTGCAGATCTTCTAGACCAGCGTGGTCTGGGGCAGACTGTAATTTGCCAGACATGGAGAAAAACAACCAACATCACAGAAAGTACAATAAACCATTTTGCTATCTGACCTTACAGAATAGTCTTACTGATAACCCTCCTTAATGAGGCTTATGAAAGCCTGTTATCAATGGGGTTTCTTTCTAATTGGTTTGTTGCTTATGAAGTTATCTCTGGCAGTACTTGCAGGTATCTTGCTGGTTTGAATGGCCTTGGAAAGTATCTTTTAGGGAAAAACACCAACAGGGAGAACAACCTCTTGAAACCACCTTTACTAGTTCCCTGCGTCACAAAAAGCTTGAGAGTTTTGGGTTTTTTAAAGGGAATAATCAGTTGGCATACATTGAACTTGCGGTGCTGAGTTTGTCACATCTTGAAGATCTTTCCAAAGCTCTGACCATGTATCCTGTGACAGTAACACCATAGTAAAATAGTTCAGCCTAAATGAAGCAAAGTTTAGTCTAATCAATTCTGTCTTGTTTTTAAAATCCTGGTTCAAAATTATTTTCTTAACAAAATGTGACAGGAATTTTTTAAGTTTCAAAAGTAAATAGAAAATAAAAGCTACAGATTTTCTTTCCAGGCTCTTCTGAAGCCTTGGGTATCCAAAGCAGGTGGCCTCCAGAGGAGGCTTGAGCCTGAGGCAGATTTAGGGGATATGAAGACATGTAGGCCAGTATGTGAGTGGGTCTGTGGGAGGTGACAGAACTGAACAGTGAAAACCAAGTAATCAGGTTGGGTTTATGCCCCCAACAGAGGCACCTATACTGAGAACACAGACAAACAGTTTAAATCTCCCCTACAGCCAGTGAAGAGAGAGAAGCTGCTTACAGGTGCTGTTCCATGTTGTGGTCCAGGAGCGCTCGGCATCACCCCTGCTCTCAGGAAGGTGAACTGCTGCACCCAGGCTTGTCCGAAGTCACACAGGGGGTCTGTGGTGATAGCATCTGCACTGCTTATATCTATCTGTATGTGCTGTGTGCTATCCCTGGCTGCAGCTCGGCTGTCTCAGGGCTTGTTCAACTGACAGCAACAGTCAAAGCGGGGCTGTGTCCAGGAGGAACTGCATCGAGCAAATCCTCCTCACGTTCCGGGAGCCTGGTGCCAGGATCCTGCTGGGACTGGTGTCAGCTGAAGCTCTAGGTACCTCAAGGACAGCACAAATTAAGTTTTCTGTCAATAAGTCTGCATGCAGCCTTGCAGATTGTTGGATCCAGCGCTCTCTGCTTGCCAGCAGCCACTCGCATTATCCTGTTGAAGAATCCATTGAGTTGCAGCATTAAGTGAAGTCCTGTGACTTTAGCATTTCTATTGTGTGACCAATTATTTCATCCATAACTATAACCAACATTGGAGGAAATCTGCCTATTTGCCATAAAAATGGAATAAATGGGTCTAATCCATCAAAACATAGAGAGGCTTGTTTTGTTTTCTTTTCTTTTGACGTTTGAGAACTAGTCTTTAAACTGCTAATTTATGAAGAACCGTTTGTGGGTGTCTCTGTGAAGGAGATTGAAATGTCTTGGAGATGTTCCTTGGCTGTTTGCTTTGGGAAATAGAGTGGTCCTGCTTGGCTGTGCGTGACTGCAATGGGATCTTTCCATTCTGCATGTGGGAATCTCTTCCCTCTGCATCGTGGTCTCAGTGCTAACTTCGCAGCTGTTTTCGTAACCAGGGAACCCTGTTGGAGACTAATGGCCCAGGCATTATTTTCTGCAGCAGCTTTCCGAAAAACAGGAAGCTGGCTGCCTCGGATGAAGGTGCAGCGGCCCCTGTGCTCTGCTGAATTAAGGCACAGCTGCAAACAAAAGGGCAGAGAAGGCAAAAAATACCGTTTCATCTTTTTTTCGTTCTCAAATTTTGATGGAATATGGGGATTGGCTTTCCAAAGAGAGAATTGTTTGGAATTTTCTGCACCTTAACTGTTGCCGATGAAGTTCATGTGACATTTTAAGAAACAACATCCTTAATCATTTAGAGATGTACTGCAATGATTTGCAGCAGATAAATGGGATCAGATCTAGATGAGGATTGTTACATATGTGAAGTGGAATGAACAAGACCTGCAAACCTGAAAGAGGAGAACGTTTCTTCCTCCTTTTTCCATTACACTTTTACAGGAATTCTTTCCTGTCTCCTGTTCAGCTGGATACATACCCCGTACTCCACCTCTGCCTCCTGTGAATTAAGAAAGAGCAAAGGACATGGTTTAAACTTGATCCTTAAATATTTATGTATTTAACATTAAAAGGAAATTGGCAGAGATCTCCACATGCTTCATGTTCATCTGTCACAGAGCAGAGGGGATGAGCAGTCCTTTCAGCTGCTGGTGTTGCTATCCCAGGGACAATTCCCGTTTAACCCATTCCTCCTCCCAGTCTCTGTGGCTTTCCAAGAGGATGCCTGGCACAGAGGCGTGTAGACACTGCAGTGCTTCCTTGGCTGGCAGGTTTGCTGCAACATGTGGCTCTGGGGCTGTGACGTTTGTGGTCAGTTTATATTGCAAATACATTGCAAGAAATCAGGAGACAACTTTAGAAATTTTCAGAGCTCTGAGCCAGACTTGCTGTTTGTTTCACAGCCCCAGGGCTTCCAGGAGAAGCTTTATAGCAAACAGCGCTGCTTTTTAAAGAAGCTGGATACTGCTTTGTTCAGTCTTGTGTAACTGGGAAAAATCAGGAAGTTGTGAGCTTGACCAGCTCACTGCAAAATTCACTCTGTCTTCAAGGCAGTGATTCTTTCTTCCTATGCCAGAAATGAGAGCAGCAAGGCCACGGGGCAGCACTGGTACTTAGTGCTCAGGAATGTCAGAGCTGTGGGAGACAAGGAACTTTCCAAAGGCCTGGTAGAGTTTGCGTGTTCTTGGTCTGATGGAACAGAAGAGGCAGGACCCAACTTCTGCCACAGGAGAATATCCTGAGCTTTGAGATGGGCACTTGGGCAGTGCCATGTTGGGGGGGTACTGGGCAAAATACTCGCTGCCTCCAGAGTGCTGCCCTGTTTCGGCACTGGAGGTGGGACCTTTGGGTGACCAGGACCTCCTGCTTCTAAGTCACCATTTGGGTATGTACACTAAGGAAAAACATACTGCTCATGTGCTTCCCCTGGTGAATATAATAGATGCTCTCAGTATATACTGTCTCAGTAAGGAATCCCTGACACTGCTGTTCAGGATGGCAGCCTTCTCCATGCTGGTGGGGAGAGCCTGGTGTGCAGGAAATGAAGTGGATGCTGTTTCCCTCTTGTTCTTGGATGCAGTTTCTGCAAGTCAGCACTAAGAGATGCTGATGACCTTGTTCTTAACTCTCTACCAGATTAGATTTTGCAGGCTGTCAAAATAACTAGCAGTTTCTCCTGAGCAAGGACCACATCAGCTCAGAGGAAGTTACTCAGCATGGTTGCTCTGGAAGCTGGGGCTGTACATCTCGTAACAACAAGGCTTCCTGGGATTGAGTTCAGGGAAGGAGTGGACACTTCATGAAAGAACAAGCAGCAGAAAAGGAGCAGTCATCAAGTAATCCCTTTGGAAAGGGAAACAAAATGTGAATGACAGCAGCCCGTATTACATGATTAGTGTCTGATCCTGAGCACTTCTCTTGTTATTACATCACTCCATCCAGGATTAATACCCCCGGCCCAGGATTTGCAATTGCAAACACTTTGCCTGCTTACAGATGCTCCTTCCGCCAGCCAGCCCAGGCAGAGGCAGCGGGTGCAGAGCATCTGCGCTTCTTCATGTGCAGCTGAACGTTTATTCTGAGGGACGTTTGATAAAGTGGGAAATATTTTGAATCAACTCAGATTTGTCTGCCACTGGGAAGTGATAATCTGAATCTTTTCTGACATGTGTGGTGTAGTCCTTCTGAAGCGTGTTTGTATGCACGTTTGCCTCCAAGTGCTGTGTCTCTAGTGCTCAGCCAAAAGACCTCAACAGTGGGCATGCAAGAAAGGGTGGGCTCCTCTGATTTTTGCAACTTGTCTTACAGCTCTGCAGACCAAGTGACGGTGCATTTTATAAATCGGAATGGAGAGCAACTCACAGCCACAGCCAAAGAAGGGGAGAGCTTGCTGGAAGTGGTAGTCAATCAAAACTTGGCCATTGATGGATTTGGTAAGTGTTGCACAAGGGTACGTGCTCTAAAGATTTACGTGTCTGCGCAGTGACCAGTGGGTACCTGAGAATTGTGCGACTGTACACGTGCCACTGTGTTCTGATGAGACCATGAAGGAAGCTTCTCTTCCCCGACCCCTGCTTGCTGGGCTGGCTTACTGCGCTGAGATGGCAGTGTGACCTCCACACTGTCACTGCTGGGATTCTAGTGGCCCGTGTCAATGCGTTTGGCTGGTTAGAGTCGACACACGAATTTGAAAACTGATTGGGGTCTTCCCAGAGAAGAGGCAGGCTGAAATCTGCATCCGTTGTGTTTTCTGGCATCTCTTTTGACATGTTCCATGTCTGTTGAGGGACCTTTTCTCATGCTGTTCCTGAATATAATCTCTCTCACTGCCTTGTTTTTTCTGATTTGCTGCCACTCCCCTCTTTCTCCACCAGGTGCATGTGAAGGGACATTAGCCTGCTCCACCTGTCACCTCATCTTTGAGAAGGACACCTTCCAAAAGCTGGATGCCATCTCAGATGAAGAGCTGGACATGCTGGACTTGGCATACGGACTCACTGAGACGTAAGCCTCTCTGCTGATTGCAGTAGATTCTTAAGCCTCTGAGGCAGATTCTCAGCACCTGGTACCTGTTTCCAAGGGGACAGGACTTACTCTGTGTTACGGTTGTGCCTCTGCTTTCTCTCCAGGCACAGGAGACCTTTAACAGGAACTTCAGCAAAAATCCAGCCTGAACCAGACATCCCAATGTGGGTGGGGAATTTCTTGCTTCGCTCTGTGAACAGATGAGCCTCACTTAATGTTTTCTTCTCAGATCTCGCCTTGGCTGCCAGGTGCACATTAAGAAGTCCATGAATGGTCTGACGGTGCGGGTCCCCATGGATGTATCAGACATCAGGAGGCAGCTGGAGGTTGGAAAGCAAAGCAAACAGTAACTGGAAACAACTCCTGCACGACTCATGTCTTCGTGTTTGGTGTGCAGGGTACTTTGCTTTTGGTTAACACTATTGCTTTTTGTGGCTGGGCTTGCAGTAGACCGTAGAGGTGTGATTCAGTGTAAGTGCCTGTTTGGCAAATCTCTTATTTAAACAAAGTTTCGTGGTAGGGTCTTTGGTACATGTTTTAAGTTACGTGCTTAAGTGCTCTGCTGAACTCAACCGGACTAAAGCATATGGCTTTAGATTTCTCTGGGCAGGTGACAGTAAACATCTGTGCTGTATGTGACTCAGCCTCTCCTTTGAAATTTAAGGAATTCTGCTATTCTAAGTAACTGCTGGGAATTTTGCAGGACTTGGCTCTTTAGCCATAGAGCAGCTTTTTCCCAATTTGGGAAGCTTAAGAAGAGATAGCTGTTCCAAAGACAAGACAGTGTGCTGACTGGCTTGATGATAGAGTGAGTTTGCTAAGCAAGAACGTACTGATAACCATTTGAATGCTGACATTTCCTGTAAGAGAGAACCACTTGCTGTGAATTCGAGATGTTACACGTCCCTGAATTGTTATGTGCTGTCATCTGCTACTTTCTCCAAATACTAAATTTTCCCACTGCTGTTACTACCATGTACGTCCAATAAAATTCTAATAATCAGGCTTTTAGACCTATAAGATGCACTTTTCTGGCAACAAGAACCTGGTTGGAATAGAATGAGTTTAATGGAAACTTAGGTATAATACCCTGTTGCCCCAGTTTACTTGACTGGATTTTTTCCCCTTGTGTTTGAGTGAATATGTCAAACTTGCCATCTAAATATCATAGAGAACCTATGATCTGTAACAGAGTTTTCCAGAGTTCTGCACAGAAACCTTTCCTATGGATTTAGTTAAAACCCGGATATGTTTAGCAACCAATTTTAAACCAGCAAGTTACTGTTCTTAGGCAAGGTATCAATCCCATAAAAGATGTATACATTTTAAAAATGCTTATCTTCTATTAGGGGAGGGACTGCCCTGCGTAGGAGGCTGGGAACTGCTCTGTGCCTGTCACAGCCCCTTCCACCTGACTCTGAAACCAGTGTAAAAACCCCTTTGCACACCAAAAGTTCAATCAGTCAGAGGAGCACATGGCACTTAT